GGGGCTCACCAGGTTCCCCACGGGAGAAACACTTGTTCAAGGGGCCTGCCACAACCTAACTGAACCAGCCACCAGGGCCCAGAAGTGCTTCCCTCTGTGCTGCTACGTGCTGCAAAAGCCTCAGCTAATACTTGCTGATTAGCAAGTCTTCCATCTCACCCGCACTCAATGATCCTCTTGGGTCCCTTCCAACTCGAGATATTCTATGATTCTATGTTTACAGTTTTCAAGTAGGTCTTTCCTCCTACAGGAGGAGAGAACCATCAACTCTTGCTTTTATGTAGGTGAACAAAGCCTGTGGGTGAATTTATAACTTTCAGGATCACTGCTGTCTCACGAATGAAATGCATTGAGTTTGCCAGCCACCTTGAAATTTCTCCTAACATCAGGTAAACTTGAAGTAAAGTGAGTTTGCTTCATGCAAAAACTTAAGAAGCTAGTGACCTTTACACCAGAGATAGTAGTGTTTCATCACCTAGCAAAACAAGGAGTTCAGCAGCTCTCAATCTAAAATAGGGACTGTGGGTCTGACATGCTGTGGCAGGAAACTGTATAACAGAAACTTCTAAATTGAACATTGTCCTGCTGTTTGCTTGCCCAAGCTATACTTAAGCTTCATCAGCCCTAACCATCTACATGATGCTCCTAATGTTGGATTACACGTAGGAAACTGCCAACTTGACTTATTTTGCAGTGCCAATATCAAAGTCTAATGAAAATGTTGAAAAACTTTAGGGATCAGTGAGAAACAACACAAAAGTAGAAGATAGTGTTCTTCATATATACGTGTACGTATGTGTGTATATGTATTTTTGTATACTTCTATGAAAAGCAGAGCATTTGTTATAGTATGTGAAGCATACCTTAAAAATATATAACTTTACGCTTAAAAACTCATAAGGATGAAATGAAAATATGTAACTTTAAATTATGAAGCAAACAGTTCTGATCTTAAATTAAGAATCCACTTCACTGAACATTTTACATATGCAGAGTCTCCGGTCACTCCTTCAACCTATTATGTGTTCAGTAAATGCACAATCAGAGTAAATGAATGTACTCATGTCTTGGTGAGTAAGGCTGGATGGATGTTCCATACAGTACTAAGGACCACTCTTTCAATTTGCCTAGAAGTTAAGTATTTAAAATCTAGTTTTAGAAACCGTTTCTATTTTCTGTGTCTTACAAAAACATATAATTTGTAAACATGACTTTGTGAGCAGGTATGGAAGGCGTTGCTTTTCAAATAAGTGTCTTCAGTTTAATACAGACAGTGCAATCGCTGCTTCACTATAAACTGAGAAAGCATACTTTCTTCAATAAGATTTTTACATGGTATTTTCATTGTGCTCCAGCCTCTTGTAGATCTGTAAAAGTTTGCACCATGGGTTGAACTCAATATAAACCATAAAAACCAAAACCTTTGGCCATACAGTTATTTGGGAGATATATATGGTGCTCCACAAGGGGTTTTTGCTCTGGATTTCACTTTCCCTCAGAACATTAATTATCCAGTAATTATTATTTGAGATCTCTTAGCTAACTAGCTGTATTCAGAATTCTGACTTAAGAAAGGGGTTACATTCCATTTATTACTCAAGAGTACTTTTCATTGGCTTAGAAGACACATCTCGATGAACAGGAAAAAACTTCTTTTAAAATCTCTATGTCAGAATATCAGTGTCCCCTCCCAAACCAGCATAATATCTTATTTATTTGCCCTAATTATTTGGCAGATATATCACTGCATTGTCTGCATTCATCACTAATATTTTATCCTCTCAGTACATGAGTAAGGAAAGAATAACATGTTTGCCTGCCTGAAATATCATCTGACTTTTTAGCAAGTTTTTTTGTGGAAGAATAAAAAGGTAAATGTGTATCAAGCCATCAGTTCAGGCTGTCACGACACAAAGTTGAACTTCCAGTTCCCACCTTTCTGTCTATACTACCTGGTGAATTGATTCTGTGAAAGAGCAAAAGGACTCAGGCCTGAAATAATGCCTAATGTAATGATGCACAAAACCCACATCCCTACTTGAAAAGATAGAACGTAAGTTTGGTCTTGTCCTATTCTCTTGATTATATTTATTTATGTTAGAGTAGCTAGTTGTAAATGTAAATTCTCATCAGAAGAGAAAAGAAACAGAGGAGCAGGAAGTGTTTCTTTTCTGAATTTGAAAGATCCTGTTTTGGAGGCTGTTCTGTGGTTAAAATACTCTTCCCTTAGAACTATTACTTAAAAAGAAATGCAATCCAGGTATGTCTCTTCTCAAGAAACTCATTTAGTATACGTCATGTAAAATTAAATTCAAGTAATCTTCCTTTTCTTTCATTTTAATGATACTTAATAATTTGAGGTTTCATATTGTTCGCTTGGACTCTTCCAACCTGTGCAAGCAAATTACTTTGACTTTTACAAGTGACTTTCTGTATTTTTCCCAATGTTATCTGGTATCCTCCATTGACACAACCAAGACAATACATTATGTCTCTGCTTTTACATTCAACCTTCAAGCAGTAAGCAACAACAAGCAAAACCACAATCTGACAGATGATATCCCAGTTCTTTTAAATGGTTTATACTGGGGTTAAAGATGGGAATCTCTGTTATCTCTCTGTCTCTTGCCACTTCAGTTTAATCTTTCTGGGACAGAAATCTCTATACTTTGTATGAAACCTTCTCTGCCCTTTACTCAGTTTTTGAGAAGAAACTATAGGCAAGACAATACATCACATGACAGTTGTTTCACACAGTAGCTTCCAACTCTTCACATCTAAAGCAAAGCATTACTAGTTTTAAAGAGACATTCAATCCTGATTTAAAAAAATTAACTGATGAAGAGTCTACCAAACCTGCTTGCCAAACTACTGGCTAATTATCTTGGCTGTAGAACTGCATGCACCTTATTTTCAATTTGTCTTTTCCTACCACTAGCTCACATCCATGTAGCTTTTTAGTGCCCACTAGATTAAAAAGAACCAAAGCACATGATTTCTTCCTATATAGACATGTGGGGATCAAGTTATCTCTCAATGATCTTTAGAGTGATTCAGCTGGGTCCTTAAAGGCACTTTTCTTTTTAGGAAAGGAGTCACACAGGGAGCTCATTTTTAATCACATATGTAGTCATCTCTAAAGCCTTTTCAAAGCTACAGCTCATCCACATACAGTCTCTGTCCTTTTTGTGTTAACCCACTTCTACAGCATATGGACTACAATATATTGGATGCAATCAAAAATGTGTGTTTTGCTAAGTTGTTCAGATCTTTTCATCCTTGTCATTATTATGCTCCAAAGATCACTAGACTTTCCAAGGGCTGATTTTATACTTCTTCCTAAAAATACTGAATACTAGAAAAAAGTCTTTGCAAGGACCCACTAAAAATAACTACAGGTAAAGATGCTGCTCAGGTGCAGTGTGTTGTGTCTGGACTCCACACACATGGAAGGGCGTGTACTAACATTACTGCAGGAAGGACTGGTGCTTTGAATATACACCTAATGCAAAAGGGCAGCAAGGGGAATAATGCAGGGTCTCTCAGGAGATTAGTTGCCTTTTAAGAATGGTTCAGTAAAAAAGGAGGGGAAAAATTCAAGTGACTTGCCAGCAAATAAATGAAGTCTGCCTCAAGGCAGGTTTAATTTGGACAATGAAAATATTTCAGTAACTAAGTATATATACATACACACACACTTTTATAATGAATAAATAAAGTGCTTATATTTAAGCCAAAATCTTTCTTTCCCCATTTTTGGCTGATTCCATAATTTAGTTTGGCTAGAATAATCCTTTACCCTGCTTTTATTTCGTATGAGACAGGGGTCCCATATTGTATGTATAGGAGAAAGGGTATATCACAGTGTTTCACAGCAAGCACATGTCCACCTCCATAAACTCTACAGAATTAAATGCAGAAATCACATGCACTGCTTTTATGAACTGGACCCTGCATTTCTTTACGGGTAACAGATGTGGCATTACCTTGCCAATGCAGGGATATGATGACATGTTGGCTCTTTGTTCTCAATTTGATTACAGGAAAACTGCAGCTCTTAATTATAAGACCTTTCAATAGCTAAACAAACACACGCACACAACAGAAACAAGAAACAGGCATGATGGTGATATCAGTGTGATGATAAACTGCAGGCTACAGTGATAAACCGGAGAGGCACCATAAATGGTGTTTAAGCACCTTTTGTTTACTTCATGTTCTGTTCAATGCGAAGACTAACCCTGACATGCCCAAACAGCTGAGTTTATCCACCACTGATATACGGCAGGCACTTTCAAATCTTTCTGAACAGAAGTGTTACTGGACAGCTTCCATCACAGGGCAATCACCGCTCTAGAAAGTTGAAGGAACTTATTACTAGACAGTATACATGAACCAGGATCCAAATTCACAACCAGACTGCATCTTGTGAAATCCAAATGCATGTAAAAACCTAATCAGTCTCAAGCACTGTTTCACACTGCGGTTAGAAGAAAGTAAAGCAGGATTCCTTCAGTGTAACAACTTCCTCCACAACCCTTGGCTGGGCTGGTCTACTTTGTCCACATCCCCTGGCCTCACTGCCCCTTTTCTTCCAGAATTGGGTGTGTAGGCCTTAGTCCTCACAGAGCAAAAGAAATCAGTCCCATGAGATTAGCCACTGTAGCACTGACAAGAGTATATATAAAGTATTGAAATCAATAAATCAGTAAGATCTATATGACTACATATGTAAATCAGGAGTGTGCAGGAACAGCTTTTAACATGTAAAGCTGGAAATTTAGCTGGCCACTTTTAGACTGTCCTGATGACATAAAAGCGCTGTAGAAGATGTCTGGAGAATAGCCCAGATGAACAGTTTGCAAAATTGCTCCATGGTACCTCTTTTCTAGGCTTTAATACAGGGAGCATGCCAGGGAGAGAGAAGAGGGAAACATTTGAAATGTGTTGCACTGTGGTTCTCCTTCATATCTGTAGGACGAACCATGGGTTCTGGTACACACAAAGGTGAAGAGCTACCCTAACTTGTCCTTAAGCCAGAGACATTCCTGGCTGCGTCAGGAATAACAAGCGCAAGATGGAGTTGAAAATCATTGATTTTTGTCTCTTTTCAGTAATCTGATTAAAATTAAGTTACTTTGTTGTTGTTTAATACCTCCCCTCTATCAAATTCTAAAGCACTGAAAATAAAAAAAAAACCCCAAACAGCAAACTTCCCCCCAAATCCCTGAACAGTTCAGCTCACAGTCTATGTCTGCTTTTCCAAATACATTTAATGAATACCCCTTTTTAGTGTACTGGAAACTTTGCTCTGCCTTTACTGGTGCAACTAGGATCACTTAGCTAAGAACTTTTCACCGCTGCAAAACCATGGTGAGAAGTGATCAGTGCAGATAAAAATGAAGTGAAAATCGAAACCCTGGCAATACTGTTTTTTCCTTTCAGAGCTCTAGAGGATGACAATCAAGATCTTCAAAATGCCGTGCTTAAAGTTAACCACTTGAGTATACAGCTGACATTTAAATGACACTGGCCACCCTAGAGTTACCACAGACTTTATTAAAAAGTTGTTCACTGCTCAGCAATTTTGAAAATCACACTGATCATCTTGGTCTTCAATAGAGAATTATTTGCCTCATGTTACATAACAGGTTTTAAAAACTTTGGCTTATGACTGCTGGTTTAGCATTCTAAAAAAAAATTCAGGTTATGCAGAAAACTGAGACAGGCAGTAAGAGAATATGATTTGATGGTCAGGCAGGCAGAGAAACTTTTTTAAAAAGCAGAGAGACTGGCTATCTGGCCATCTGCTGCATTAAAAAGAACATAACTCTGCTAATGAAGACCAGAAATAAAGAACTAAAATTCTCATTCAATTCCACCAATTTCAACAACAGTTGAGTGAGGCTGATCTGCGTGTTAGATCTTTTAGACAGAAAATTATCTAGAGCAGCATAAAATCAGCCCTTCCATTTTGTCTTAATTTTGAAATGACAGGGTTCATTTTTGTTTGAAGTAAAATGTATAAACCCAGTTGAGTTTGGCCTATGCAATACTTGGAATAGGAAGGAGACTGGACAACTCCATGTTCACACATTAGAATTCCTCCTGTGCCCTGGCTTGCTCAAAGTCATGATGGAAATAGTCCTAGAGAGTTTGTAAGCTGCAGGAGTGATTGGACCGGCTGGCCTCCCAGAAACGCACATTTACCTTGAACAGCTGAACTGCACATAGGCTTCATTCCAAACTGTATAATGTAACAAACCAAATTTCAACCAAGAGGAAGACAAAAGTACTCCATCTCCATATCTGGTGCCAGAAACATTAATGGGCCTTTCTTGGACAATTAACATTCTTCTAGAAGATCAGCTACATGTACATGCCCTATAACACTAGCCTTTCTTATTTTAAACTCAAAGCTTTTAAGCACTTCAGTTTGCATTTTAGTCAACGTTTCTTTATGTGTGCTTTTTCATGTAGTAGAAACAATAAAAGTACTTAGCAAGGCACATTTGAATAGTTTTAATGACTTCCAATAACCTACTAATTCAGGAACAAATGTACTTAAAAATCCCCTGTTGTTAAGTTCACAAAATTATATTTTTATAGCTTCAAGTACTTTAAGTTAATATCTATGTCTTAAAATTCAGAACTGATTTTTAGCAAATCAATTAGAAAACTCTTACTGCTTTGTGAGTTTACTTAGCTGCCTGAGATGGAATGTATCTTTTATTTGACTGAATTATAAACCAATTCTATTGCTAATGTCATTGTAGACCTAAATATATTTCATAGCAGAATTCTTGTAATTAATTTTTATCTATCAGAAAGCAGTAGTCATCTAGATTTATCACTTCCAATGTAATATTATTGCATTCTGACATGCTGTCCCATCAGAGTAAGTGTTAATTTAGATTTAGTGATAAATGATTTCCAATACATCAGTAGTAGTCGTCTCTCTAACATGTTTTAATCTAGATTATTTGCTGAAGTGATATTTCACCTTTGACTATTTTTATTAAAGGGTTTCCACTTACTTTGATGTGGGGCTCTGAACGAAGGACTATATTCATTCAGTATTCATGCATAAACAGTGGTATTTTTGTCTGTGTATAATGTATCTATTTCAAAATGGTTTCTAAGGTTTAAATTTTCCATAAGTCCAAAGGCAAGTATATACTCATCTCTCATAACCAGCGAATAGAAGTAAGCATGTACTCCCATGAGTCTCTGAAAGCCCCTCTCCCAATCTCCGTTTTTTTCAAAAAGTGCTCATACTGAAATATGTGAATGAAACTGAACTGTGCAGTGGGAATTAAAAGCAGAAGAATGTCTGTAGCCTCAAAAATTCTTACTAAGAGCACAGTTCGTGAGTGGACGAATGCCAGGTCTGAGC